GGTGGTAACTAGGCAACAAGTTGGCGACGGGACACTAACAAAAATGGCAGGGCCTATACTATATTTTGTCTGTCAGCATCGTTAGAATTTTATAAAATTCTCGATAGTCCGCTAAATTGAGATATATGTTGTCGACTCAAAAACAATACTTTTTTATGTTTTATTATTTAGAAAACAGAAAACAGGGGGTAACCGTTACCTCTGCAAGAAATTATTAATATAGATACTACAATACATTAACATTTTGTCAAAGAAAGGTGAAAAAAAAATCGTTTCGTTGGAAGGTGTGTCTTGGTCTATGTCATCGTTTTCATTTAAGATTTTCATGACGATTCTAACACTATTTCCTGTTTATACGGGGTGTAAGGGACGGTGTAACGAAAACTTTGCTGGCGTGCTCAGAACATGAAACTGAACAACTTCACACACACACCTTCTAGCAAAAAGTTTTTTTTTTCACCTATTTTCCATTGACAAAGTGTTATTGTATCATTTATAAGGTCCTATTAAATTCACTGCAAATATTTTAGGGGCAAATCTAATAAAATATAAGCATGTATTTTTCAAATTTTTAAAGAAATCTACACGCTAGTTTTCGAGAAAATTGCATTTAACTAAAAAAACACAAAACGAAAAAAGTGCACCCTGTTTGTCCTAGAAACACACACTTCGATGAATTTGAATTACGCGCCGAAAAAAAGTTGCTGTGATTGGTTGGTTGTTAGTATGCGTGCCGTGTAAGTGAATCCTGTCTACGTGGCGGAACGTCAGTCGGGTCAGTCAAAGGATGTTCACATAATTAATTAAAAAGTTTGTTTGAAAATGAAAAAAAAAACTAGTGTGTAGATTTTTTTTAAAATGGCTTTGATGTTTTTCTTATACATATTTACGCGTGCCCTTAAAATATTTGCAGTGAATTTAATAGGACCTTATATATTTATAATCTATATAAATGTAGCATTATAGCCAGATTTTTTATTGTTTCAATTTTCTATTATTATAGAGTATAATTAACGCAAGTATAGCTTTTTCCTTTTTTTTTTTACATTTTTCATATTTTTTCTTAGGAAAACGTGAGTTTTTTGTTCCATAAATGAATAGGTACCCCGTCTATGATTCACCCGAAAATGATACCACACTTGCCATAATAGCATTAATTTATAAGTTGTATTGCTTAGAGCGAAACTCTGAACAAGAAATCTTCCCCCCCTCCCCCTCCTCCCTTAGGTGCGGAACCCTTTGTCAACCGAGCTTAATCTACTCACTAGCACCTAAAGAACAACTGTACCAAGTTTCATAATTCAAGGAAAGAAATATCACAAAATGTGCTTAGCGTCTCAGGTATTACGGTTAAGGTAAATAATAAAATTATGTATGAGTTTAACACTGGGTCTGCAACATTGAACAAGATAAACAAAAGAAAGAAAACAAAAACTAATCAAATCTCGCTGGGAAGATGTAAATTTTTATATCAAGTATCGGAGGCGCGCAATTTATCAACAGTAATTCCGGCGTCGAAAGGCAGAGGGCGCGGTGACAACCGAAGAAATGTTCCTGCAATATCGGGGAGGCTCTGACGCAGTATATGGTATAAACCAGTAGTGAAACTTCATACAATCGCTTAAATGCTTAGAAACTCTCACAGACACAAATGTCTCTGACGCAGTATATGGGATACGCCCAGTAGTGAAACTTCATACAAACGCTTAGATAGATACTCACACACACAGACGCATATTATCTCACCGATTATAGTCTGGCGACTGTCGGGGTTTCCGCACTTGGCTGACTTCAAAGAAATAAGGCGGTATCTGCAGTAAAAAGTAGCTTGCTAGTGATAACGATATTCTTTTCTTTTTCTTTTTGATGTTTAAGGTTTAAAAATGGTTCCAAAAATACACTTTAATGTTATAATAACAGAACTGGCAAGCTTTAAGCTGCATCTGAGACCAATCTTTACGCTGCATCTGGGACCAGTGACATCTGACTGATACTATCGATATACCTAGGCCGCCCAAAGCCAGCTGATGCGATTTTTATAAGTTATCCTGAAAAACAGATCTAGTTGCGCTACTGCTTTAGCCTATGTAAGCACTGTGACATCGGGGAGGCTCCACGACGCGACAAAAAGGCAATCGATTACCCTTCCACCTGGCTAGAGGTGGCAATCCGAGTTATCCTTAATAAAAACAGATCTAGTTGCGCTACTGCTTTAGCCTATGTAAGTACTGTGACATCGGGGAGGCTCCGCGACGCGACAAAAAGGCAATCGATCACCCTTCCACCTGGCTAGAGGTGGCAATCTGAGTTATCCTTAATAAAAACAAGTCGAGTTGCGCTACTGCTTTAGCCTATGTACTGTGACATCGGGGAAGCTCCACGACGCGACAAAAAGGCAATCGATCACCCTTCCACCTGGCTAGAGGTGGCAATCCGAATGCGTGATACGCCTTAACTACCTACAAATTCACCTGCCGTCGCATTGTCGACTCTTTTCCCCTATTCTTATAGAACTTTTTGGGTACAAACGTGAGTAAAGGCGAGTACAGGCTGGCGATATGATGTATATTATGTCTTTTAGTGTTGTTGCCGCGCGATAACCTAAAATGCATGGATTGTCTAACCAAGGAAGTCGAGCTTTACGACAATAAACGTTCTCATGTGCTATCATAGTTCGATACTGTCCGATTTTAATGCACTTTTTGTTAAACTTAGCGACTAGATGGCGAAAACTGGAGACCGTGCCTTATGAAGACTGTGTGCCCTGAGGGAGGCCTACGTCTAGCAGTGCTGCTAATGTGATGATGAAGTATAACTTATCTAGATTTTGAACCCTTGAGTACGTAGCGTACATTATCTATCACATACATACATGCATCATGCCTATATCCCTTCCGGGGTAGGCAGAGCGTAGACGGCTGTAAAAACGGCCATTTACACCACGTCTGACAAAAATTTGAGAGTCATTCAGAAGACTGTGTATATGACCATATTATAAGAATACACAATAGTATAACATATCACAATACAGATCTACCTCGAATCCTTTATTCGCTTCTTACGACACCCACGAAAAAGATGAGGTGATGCTATTCCGGCACTACAATATAACAAGATATAGGTAAATATATTATAGCGCCCGTCTGTGGTCTTCTTCCTTAGGCGCAGGAGACGTTGCTATTCATTCTGCCTCGGGCCCAGGTAATGGTTCCTGTGATATTGGCGTAATATTTCAGCGATAGCGTTTGTTATCAACGTGTAAAACGATTGTCGTTTTTATTCAAGATCGAAAATTGTGAGTAATAAGACGAAAGGGGAAACGGGCGCCGGAATGAATTGACAACACTGAAACGGGAATGTTTTGACAATTGATGTAGCAGTGGTAGAGCGGCTGTTTGCGACGCAGAAGGTTCCGGGTACGATTCTCGGTGGACGACTCGCAAGGTTGATATTAACGACTTTGTGAATTTATTCCCAGTTTGGTTAACACAATACAGGCTGAACCACCTGACTGTCCGAAGATGATTCCGTGCTTTGGAGGGCACGTAAGCCGTCGGTCCCGACTGCTGTCTATGATGAAAGTTATCACAGACACAAATATGTCAGAGGCCTGCTATTTACTTGAAGTAAGTAGGTGGTTGAAAGACACTGACACCAGGGTTCATCGGGTCGTTTGTTGATGGACGATTCAGTTGACTCGAAAGAAGAAGACTGGAACGTAAATACATGAAACGTGTTGATGTGATGGAAACTCGTATACTTCCTTCGATATTGGTTTATATCGTGCTGATGTACCTAAGTAGGACGAATGAGAAATTTTTATGGAAAATGGTTATACGGGGTACAAAAAAATGTGTTTTGATTCCGTCCAAAATATTGAAATCGTTTTGAAAAATAGGTAGCTCATTTGATCTCACAGTCAAATAGCGGTTAAAGTAGGGTGTGGTGTGGTGTTGTAAGATTATATTGCGTGTTTAGACAGCTGTCCTTTACATCCTGTATTATGTAGGTACCTAATTTACGATATGACAGGTTAGTAGAACACAGACAGCGTGAAGATCAAAAGAACTTTTGATGTCTTCATTTCATCATGTAGCACTCACTCGTGATCTTGACATAATTTGATCTGTTTCCTGTAACTGAAACTGATAAATATAAATAAGCTGACATCAAGGTGGAGATAGCGAAGAAATGTTGATAGACCAATAAAAAATCTACGGAGTCGATCCAATAATTTATGAGAGACGCAAGGAAAACATGAGGATAGTCGCGCGATCTGATGGCATTCGAATCGTGCTACCGAACGACCCAAAACTTTTCTATAGACGTAAGTTAAAAGCCTAAAAATTTGGAGCTCACACAGAAAATTGCTCGGACAGAAGATCTTTATGTAAGGGAGACCGAGGGGAGTTGGATCATTTTTAACATTTTGCTTCGTAACACAAAATTCTGTAAAGACAAATCGTTTTTGTTTACACCAATCGATAGCAAATTTCATTAGCTTTCAAATGATATACATGTTATAAATATAAGTATAAACCCTTTAATAAAAACTCGACTTCAGTCGAGCAAGTCATTTTGATCCAACACCCTTCATACCGAGGGGTGATGGATCAGGTATAGAGGGGTGTTGGATCATTTTATGTTAATGTCATTTCAATAAAGGCTTACTTGATAATTGAAGTGTATTTACTAAAAATTAGCCAAACAATTTGAAGAATTATCTAGGGGCACGGTAGTGCCCCCTCCAAGTCGAGCCAAGCGAAGCGCGAGGGCATTAACTACCTTTCCTTGAAGTGCTTTGTCGTTTTTTGAACTCTCATATCTTTAGTTTTCGATATACCAGATCCATCAAATCCTCAGGATATCTTGTAGATAGTAACCTTATTAAACATGCAAATTTTTAATTACATAGCTTTAATACTTTTGAATGTATGGATATCTAAAAAAAACGCCATTTCTTTACTCACTAGTGAAAATAGGAAATAGAAAAAATGTCATACATCGACCGGGAATCGAACCCGGGCCGCATGGGTAAACGCCCCACCGCTCTGCCACTGAGCTATCGACGCACCGTCGATGAATGGCAAATTTTCTATCTCTTGATGCTCGTCTTGAAGCGACGATCCAGCGACATCCATAGTAAGTATTTAGAACTTACTACATGGTTAGTCCACATTATGAGTGGAATTCAAACCATATGATGAAGCTTGCTTAATCCATCTATTGGGATTTTAATGCACTCACAGTGCTATATTATTCTCACAAGTGAAAATAGGAAATAGAAAAAATGTCATACATCGACCGGGAATCGAACCCGGGCCGCATGGGTAAACGCCCCACCGCTCTGCCACTGAGCTATCGATGCACCGTCGATGAATGGCAAATTTTCTATCTCTTGATGCTCGTCTTGAAGCGCCGATCCAGCGACATCCATAGTAAGTATTTAGAACTTACTACACTGATGTTTTTTTCGTATCAATCTTTAATGAAAATATAAAAGCACTTTCAAAATATTAGACTGTCAAAAAACAGCAGAAAACTTACTTTTGTCGATTTTTTTGACGATGATCCAATAAAAACAAAATGGCGCGCGATTGGTCAGGGACGCTAACTAAGGGGTCAACAAGGGGCAGAAATAGGCACACTTGCATTGTAGTCTGCTCGCTAACGGTTCTACTTTTCGAGAAAACAAAGCTGATCCAACACCCCTCTGATCCAATTCCCCTCGGTCTCCCCTACTGGTGATCAAATTTCAGTAGGTACTTAGGAAAAGTTGTTCAGTTTGATCTGTTGAGCTTAGTGTTTTCGGGAAAGTGTGTTGTTTCGTTCGGTATCGCCTTGTACAAACTTAAGAAGTCAATCCAGAACTGGATTCGAGTTATATTAGACCCTCCTTTTTAAAGTCAGTGAATAAACATACATACATACACGATGTCTTTATCCCCTGAATAAAAATCGTCAGTATTTTCTGTGAGTGTCTCGCTCACTTCTTCCTAGCGCGAAAGTGGTGCGAATCGATATGAAGGAGAAAATTAATGTCATATATGCAGCGAGGCGACGTATTGAACCTCTTTGATCGTTGGAATAGCAGCTTATCTGGTGGCCAGGAAATAAGCGGGTTTCTAAACATTTTATATTTCGTGGGTCTTTACATAAAGGGATGCCCACTGGGCAATGGACTTTTGTGGCTGTAGACTCTACAGCGTAGAGTCCTCTACAGTGTAGAGGATTGGTTTATCATGGTAGAAACTTTACATTACCTTGTCGATAGCAGACACTATACATGTAATGGCACACACACTTAGATATGAACTGGTCTCATGAGTGCCGGCGAGACTTCGAGCAATACCACGCAATACGGCCTGTCTGCAGCCAAAGCGAGACCTATAATGAGGAACCATAGTAATTGAATAAAATTATATGGATGGCGCGCTTCACTTACTTAGGTACAAATTACCATCAAGCGCGCCATCTATATACTCTATTCAATAGCGTGACCAAGGACGATTCCTCATTAGACAACTTAATTAGGTACTTAAATCGTTGCGGGTCAGATTCTTGTCATGATGTCGGTGACATTACTAGATCTTCTTGAGATGTGCATGCAGGTACGCTTCTTGCAGGAACGCAAGCATACGCACCTGCCAATAGGTATTTAATTTGTGAGCAAACTAAATAATAAATTTGGCATTCCCCGTTAATTTCCTAGCCACACTTTACTCTCGCACCGTGAACATTTCAGTAGGTGTGAAGCGAGTGACAGAAATAAACCCAACTGATGTCGTATAATATGAGTTTGATAGTGTTTTTATTGGCTTTTATACACGTTTTGTCAGCTGCAGCATTTTGATATGATATGACTGAATGGTATCAGCATGATTGAATGGGATACAAATTCTAAGGTATTTGTGTCAATAAAAGTTTAAGAATTGTCAGTGCTAATGTTTTACGAGTGTGTCTCAAAAGAAAATTGTTAGTGGCAGGCACATAATGAAAGAGCCGACTGCAGAAATGCCTATCTCATCAGGTACTACAATAGGCTAACTTTAGAACGTTAACTGACACGTAAACAAGTCGAAAGACGTAGGTCTGCCAGAGCCAATCCTGCCGAAAGATGAAAATAATCGATATATTTTGATAATGTTTCATCTGTAAAATTTATGTCTAAAAGTACCCGAATCAAAGAGCTGGCATCAGTTTACCATTGATAAAATTATTTAAAAAAAACTTCGTCTGCCAGTGCGCACTCTGCTAGAAGTGCTTGGCAGACCGCTCCAAAAGTGCCCTTCCTGCACCCATAAAAATCTTATCTCTCCCACTAACAGCAGCCATGATCTAGCTCATGAATCTGAACAACTTTACCTAAGGAACCGATGTGCACTAATATTTATATTCAGCTGTAAAGTGAAATATGTAAAAGTGTTTTACTGATTGATTATCTTATCTATTATAGTAAATCTGAAGTCAAAATTCTCCGAACCCGTACCTAAGTGTTTGCAAATCCTCTACGAGTTATTAGTCTTTGCCTTTACGAATCAACTGTAACAAAAATAAATAACACGAACCTATTAACCCTTAACGGAGCCCAAGGGTGATGTTAGATTCTTAATAAGAGCTTATTTAGCGCTGTATATTAGCTAGCGTTTAGGCTTTGGCCTGATTATAATTATGGCAAAAGATAGAGAATACACATATTTCTGCAGCGAGTAGCAGAATATAGTATAATCACAATATAGATAGTTTACAAAAAGTTTACTCGACCCTTTTAAGGATTTTCGCGATTTTGACTTGTTACATAACCAGAGTTGTATTAATCTCAAGAATATCAGAACACCATTAATTGACACAAGAACGTACTTTGATTCTGAGCCAATTTGAATCCAAGAAATATGACGTTCGTGGCCACCATCTTCTTAGTTACCTTACGTTGAGTTCTTCTGAGATTCCAGTTATATCCAGTTAAAGTCAGTAAACGTCAAAATCGTCTCGCTAGTACTTCGAGAGCCATCTGTAAAGGCGTTCCGCGCGTCGTTTCCCTGATTCGTGGTTATGCTGCCAAAACCGCAAAGAGAGGGCTTGACTATTTATTACACCACATTTTATGACCCGGACGTATCACGTTTGACGTATTTGGGTATTTCTTCAGCACCAGAGAAATCACTGTCTTGGCCCAAAATTTGCACATCGTGCTATTATAGAGGAACAGTATTTTTTATATGGTTAGTACGGCTATTACTGCGATTGGAGAAGCAATAAAAAATTATAGGGATATTACGCTTTTTTTATAAAAAATACATATGCCCCCTAAATTGACGCTCTCTGGCGTGTCCGAAAGCTGACTTGCTACATTCATGGGTTTATATTTCGAGAACTATTTATGATACGCATTTGTGACGATGTTCACAGACCTTTTATATGTTCTAGTTTAACTACAATTAATATTTAACCATACTTATAACAGTTTAGCGAGTTACAGAATAAAATGTCTCTGTCCGCGTAAAATCCTGGGATTCTCTGGCGCGTAAAAAACATCGCACACATCACTAGTCTTTGTAGGTACGCTGTCGGCATCCCGGCCGCTCAAAAGAGTCAGTAAAGCCGCAGCAGCGGAGGTGTGTGCACTCGTGACTCGATTTTACATTTTGGATTTATCGAGGTAATCAAGTGTTATTCTGGCTTTGGTACACCTATACATTTGAGTTCTCTGGTAAAGTTAATAATTAATTGATCAGTCATAATGTTGTGATTTTGTTAAAGAAACGTAGCTTTTTGGGTGGTGAGCTGGTTGTGTAATAACGATTATATTCGCTTTTACGGTTTAAGGGTTATTCTAAATAATTACTACTTTTTGCTTTCTCTGGCATTGATTTCTCTGGCGAAAATGCCAGAGAAGTCAAAAAAATTGCCCGAAATATCAATCAGGTCATGCATGGTGGCTAGGTCTGTTGCCGCTTCTGCTCACAGCGCTGCGAGCGGACAACAGCTACGCTGGCCTGCTCGGTGGCTAGGTCTGTTGCCGCTTCTGCTCACAGCGCTGCTAGCAGACAACAGCAACGCTAGCCTGCCCGGTGGCTAGGTCTGTGGCGAGCCTGCGAACAGACAACAGCCACGCTAGCTTGCCCGGTGGCTAGGTCTGTGGCCGCTTCTGCTCACAGCGCTGCGAGCAGACAACAGCCACGCTAGCCTGCTAGGTTGCTAGATCTGTGGCCTCTTCTACACGCAGCGCTGCGAGCAGACAACAGCCACGCTAGCCTGCCCGGTGGCTAGATCTGCGGCGAGCCTGCAAACAGACAACAGCCACGCTAGCCTGCACGGTGACTAGGTCTGTTGCCGCTTCTGCTCACAGCGCTGCGAGCGGACAACAGCTACGCTGGCCTGCTCGGTGGCTAGGTCTGTTGCCGCTTCTGCTCACAGCGCTGCTAGCAGACAACAGCAACGCTAGCCTGCCCGGTGGCTAGGTCTGTGGCGAGCCTGCGAACAGACAACAGCCACGCTAGCTTGCCCGGTGGCTAGGTCTGTGGCCGCTTCTGCTCACAGCGCTGCGAGCAGACAACAGCCACGCTAGCCTGCTAGGTTGCTAGATCTGTGGCCTCTTCTACACGCAGCGCTGCGAGCAGACAACAGCCACGCTAGCCTGCCTGGGGGCTAGGTCTTTGGCGAGCCTGCGAGCAGACAACAGCCATGCTAGCTTGCTCGGTGGCTAGGTCTGTGGCCGCTTCTGCTCACAACACTGCTAGAAGACAACAGCAACGCTAGCCTGCCCGGTGGCTAGATCTGCGGCGAGCCTGCAAACAGACAACAGCCACGCTAGCTTGCCCGTTGGCTAGGTCTGTGGCCGCTTCTGCTCATAGCGTTGCGAGCAGACAACAGCCACGCTATCCTGCCCAGTGGCTAGAACTGCGTCGAGCCTACGAGCAGACAACAGCCACGCTAGCCTGCCCGGTGGCTAGGTCTATGGCCGCTTCTGCTCACAGCGTTGCGAGCAGACAACACCCACGCTAGCCTGCTAGGTATAGTCCGGCAACTTCGTGCGCGACCTTCCTTAGGGGTGACAAGCGTTCGGGGGAGA